TTTTCTATTCAGTTTGTATTCCAAACATTCGTTATGGAATTGAATCAGATATTATTCACAGGATTCCTAAAATTTCACTTACATGGAACACTGTCGTCCTCACAGGTAGACATCCGATGTTTCGATGTAAGACACTTCAGTACCAAATCTGAATAACAAATCTGAAGAAAACACACAATTCTTTCATAAAACGACGACTTCATGTTATAGAATGAGTTTGATCTACTCATGAGATCGATGACATCGTAATGACAGTCATTCGCTTATTTGATTAAATCCCAGCTAAAGGATTCTTGTTTAAATTGAAAGTGGGATATTTTAGGACAAGTTAATTTTTTGGGAAATAAAGGATAACATTATAAGAAAATCACACAATTCATTCATGAAATTACGACTTTGTCACTATGAAAAATATTCTGTAATATTAAAGTTAAGTTAGAAATTGTCTGTGCTTTCCATGTTACTTAAAAATCTCTGAAGCAAAAACTGTATTAGTAAAACAAATAATGAAATGAAAATAGTTCAAATGAATATATCAAATTATTTACCCAGATTTCATATTTCGAATATCTCTCATCAAGAAACTCCGTACAGTGGAAATTGTTTAATAGGCAAATTCACTTTTTCTGTCGCTAGACAGATTTGGATTTGGTAAAATTTCGACTGAGGATCTTCGCAACTAACCAGAAAGATTTTGATCGTTTGGATTTGGAAAGTATATTTTCGCAATCCTCTGCACTTTTCTTTTGTCTATCTTTATTCTGCATTTACGGCAAATTGAGATTTTGTGCCCCTATCAGTAGAAACAATAGTTAAGAGCACAGAAATTGAACTCTGCCACTTCAGAGAAATACTGGTAAATAGATCATTAGAATTGAAAGAAACGATTTAACAGATAACGGTAATGAAATGATTCTGAAGCTATTCTCATTTATACTATACCTAATTCCAAAATACTAGGCAATAAATTCTCTGAAATGACTGGCGTACGGAAATTATACTGATCAGATGTAGAAAAATGATGATGAAATATATAAAATCACAATCTTAACAATGTTTTCGTTTTAATGCAATAATATATCTGAGAATTTAGTGCCTACTATCGTTCTATAGTTTTTATGTGGTTGATGTGGTTGAGAAACAATTATCAGTAATTTCATGGTGATTATATAAAGTTGAGTATTGGCAGTCTAGTGTAAACCCAGAATACCAGTAAATTCGGTTACGTTCATAACACATTTCATCAAGTTTTACAGAAAATTATTATAATTTCAATGAATATCAAAGAATTTTTTCAAATGAAATCATACTCAATATTATTCATGAAAAATGAATTTTATAAGAGAACCACCGACAATGTATATCCTAACAATACCGAATTTGTGAAAAAATTCAACTTGCACTTCACATCTATATAAATTTTATTGATATCTAATGAAAGTAGAAATTTGTGAAATTATAAAACAACGATAAAAATAAAAACAACAAAAAGCATCTATATTCTTTTTGCCTTTTCTAGAACCCTCATAGAGTTGAAGCAGAATTGAAGATTGATAAAATAATTTTATCGTTATTTCTTCGAGTAAACAAAATAACATACCGTAGATAATGTATTTTCAAGATATTATGTTACTGAGACTCATTATGGTTTTGAAAGATTTTTTAATTTTTTATGCTTAGCCCGCCGGTTTTTTGACTGCTGATGATGTTCGCTGTTTATTGACTGATTTTCCAGTTCAGTGCCTTTTCTATTTCGCTTTACGTCAAGCTTGTATTATTCTTAAGTTCGAAAAAAAACAAAAATTCGTATTATTACAAAAAAGTTACGATGAAAAATACAGTTATTTTATCAATTTTTGTTATCTTTCTGGTCAATTTTCGACGCATTTCTAGTCGAGAATTGAATGACGAATCATATTATTATTACCTATAAAAGACGTATTTGTTTCAGGAAGGTATGCCTATAAGGCTTAAAGGTTTACATTTTTGTAATGTTGTGTCATTCATAGACAAACTTATAGCAATGATGAAACCTTTTCTCAAAGAAGAAATATTACGAGTGGTAAGTACTCTTCTGCATGATTGAAGGATTGCGAGTGTTGTGCGAGTGTAGAGTTGAACAATTAGAATTTCACTGTTACAAGTGTTGAGATTTGTACACGAGGGTTGCCTTTTATGTTTCGGGATTTGGCAACCCTAGTGTTGCAATCTGGCAACGGATAGCTCTATCGTAAAGTTGAACATTTATCAGAACTCAGAACGCTTTGACATACGCGTGCTATTTGTGTTGTTTACAGTAACTTAAAAGATTCATCTCGGCCCAAAAATAGAATTAAATCGTGAACATTTTCGAGTCAGTTTTAATCTTCCTCTTTGAAGAGGATCACTTGGTGATCGAAACACGTGTCGAGGTGTTAAAAATAACGATTTGGTGTTGGAAAAAAAACTCCAGTAATATTCAAATTTTATACTGAAGAAAAAAGTATCAAATTCGTGGGGCTCCAAAACTAACAGATTCTCGTGTCTTTCCCACGAACTTCGAGAAAATGAAAGTTAAGTTTGGAACCCAGTTATTCAGTGCCACCGTTTCAACAGCCTTGAAAATGTATACCACAAAATACTCTATAACCTTAAATTTCGTTTTTATATGAGCGCACGTGTATGGTAAAATAACGAAATTGGCTCCGCACTTCGTTTTGAGGTCACCGAGAACTTATGAATGAAAGTAATGGAGTAGAATTACTGGTTGATTTTTACTGTGGTTACAGTATAATGATCCGCGGCTAGTGTGATTCACTACAACTGGGACTTATTGTGAGGAAATCGACGAAATGTACCGAAAATTATGTCAGCAGCAGCCGGCTTGTCCTATCCTGCTTTACGACAACGCCCGTCTACACGTTTCACAAATCACCGTCCGAAAATTAAACGAATAGTGTCGAAGTTCTGCCTCACCCATCATACTCCCCAGACCTCCCGCTAACTGACTACCATCTTTTCAAGCACTTCGATAACACTTTCTCGCATCCCGATCATCCAATTTTGATGTTAACGGAATTAATCCACTTGTATTACGTTGGCAAAAATGCACTGATTCAAATAGAGTTTATTTCGATTAAATTGTATTCACTGAGGCATTCCAGTTCAAATTAAACTTATAAAAACGGACAAATATTTAGAAACCCAATATTGATTTCTCTTAAATTTGAATAAAATTACAGAGTTGAAAATATTTAAAATTTCTGTTTTTTGGGGAGTATTGATCATGGAAATCATAGAAGTTATGAGAATGAAATGCATTTCATGACCATATGAAAAATAGAAGATCTAGGATCTATAAGACACTATACAAAACAGTTCAAATAGTTCGTAAGTTCAGAGCCAAATTCTGACATTTTTAATCTTCCAAACCCACAACTGACATTATCTAACACACTTCCTAATGGATACAGGTTCGTTATGCCTTCTTGAAAAATAAATATATTTGCTCTAATTGAAATAATCGTTGAGTACACAATGAATTTTTCTTCAGAAATTCAAACATCAACATGTTTGAAAATTTGTACAGCTTCAAAAAATTGATAAAACCATTCTTTATTAGTGAAGGGATATATTTTGAGAAGTAGTCGCGGATTTACCTTAAATCATTTGCGACATAAGAAAAATATATATTACTAATCAAAAATCGAAATTTGATATTAATTTCACTTTTTGGGAAAGAAAGGTTTTAGCTGTCTACTTCTCCATCTTGATATAAAAATGTGGGAATCTTCTAAAGAAAGATGTGTAGATCATGTGAAGAAATAACTTTCAGGCACAAACCTAAAGGAAAAACCCTCTCGAAACAGATATTTTCATATAAACAGTGAATTACACGAAAGAAAAATACTTTCGAAACAAATACTTTTATATGAACGCTGATTTATACGAAAAACATTCTTTCCATTACTTTTGTATTCCAAACATTCATAATGGAATTGAATCAGATATCATACACAGGATTCCTACACAATATAATTAATTCAGCGTTCATATAAAAATATTTGTTTCGAAAGTATTTTTCTTTGGTAATTCAATGTTTATATGAAAATATCCGTTTCGAGAGGGTTTCTACTTCCAGTTTGTGCCTGAAAGTTACTTCTTTGCATAACCTACACATGTTTATATAGAGTTAATTTTTGAAATTTGATTGCTTCCTTCCTTTTTGGAAGATTCCCAAATTTTTTGTATCAAGATGGAGAAGTAGAAAGCCAAAAGCTTTCTTTCGCAAAAAATAATCTCTCCAAAAAATATTCCCTTTCAATTTAAATTTATTTCAATATTATGTGGACAGCTACAGACATAACAAGCAACAGAATGAAACAGAGTCAGAAAGAAAAGTAGAATATGTATCTTATTAGATACTAATCAAGCACATCCAAAGTTTTGATAATACAGTTTCAGTTATAAAAATTTGATATTCAAAAACTACCAGAATTCCTTTTCTGTAGATTGGTTTCACAAAACATAGCTTAGGCTTTGATGGAAAAGTACCAAATTTCATTGAGTTATCCATAACAACATTTCTCTTAACAATGGTATACTCCATTACACAATATGAAATAAACTTCACCATTGAATAACTTGTTTTCCATTCTATCAACTCTACAGAGGACACTGACAGTCGACACATTAACTTGGTATTGTGCTAAATATCACTTTGATAGTTTTTGAAAGATTAGATGGTAACTCTGAAACAATACTTGTCAAATATGAGTCATAGATCTTGACCTTATTGATAGACGGATGACCTTCTTGAAACATCTCAAAATGGAGTAAAAATTCAAAATCTCAAAAAAATTGATGAAAAAACTCATGAATATTCCATTAAAATGTCTTTCATATTTACAGTAAATAGTTGAGTTAGTATAACTTATGAAACTTTTATTGATTTCAGAATCAAATGGTTTAGACTTGAATTTTTAAATGTTGATGAAAAATGAGTGGACCCTTCCACATTTCAAAATCTCGTCTGTATTATCATCATGTAATTCATTCAATGCTGTTTGTAGAAATGCCGAAATTGTCTATAATTGAAATGGTTTTCATCAATAAAATTAAACTGAATTTTTCTAAAAAATATTACTGGAATTTTTTCCCAACATCAAATCGTTATTTTTAACACCTCAACATGTGTTTCGATCACCAAGTGATCATCTTCAAAGCGGAAGATTAAACTAGAAACTAACGCCTTTGTATATAGACTAACCTATATACTATACTACTAACTATATACAATGTGAACACTATTTATGCTATACAGATATTCCATACAGGTAAACCATCCAGGTGTACCACCCATACAGGTATACCAACCTAAATTATTTTTACAATTTTGCCTTATCTATTAAGCATAAATACTATTAGCTTCGCGTTAGTTTCTAGTTTAATCTCCCTCTTTGAAGATGATCACTTGGTGATCGAAACACGTGTCGAGGTGTTAAAAATAACGATTTGGTGTTGTGAAAAAACTCCAATAATATTCATTACTACACCAAAACAGTGCATCATAAGTGAATTTTTCTAATCATTGTAATAAAATTAATTTTAAAACATTACCACTCTCAAATTTTTTCTTTACTCATGCAATCTACAGCTAGAAATTTAATTTTTCCTAAATTTCAGAAATAGGATGCAATATTAACAACTCATTTCAAATGTGATGAAAAATTAGAAATGAATGCCAAATGAAAAAATGTTTTGTTATAAGCATTCAAACAATACATAACCATAAACCATAAGATTGGTTAGGAAAGTAGTTTTAGTTTATTTTATTCAGTTGTTTTTGTTATAAGAAACTGATACATGCTAGTATTTTTTAATTTTTCATGAAACAAAAATCATGGGAAACAATAAATAGATCGGTATTACAACTATTGCCAACTAAAAAAATTTTTGGCCTTTTCAGCAAATGAAGAAAATTATCATAATCAACTACTTTATGGAAGAATTATCGTATTTTGGATCTAAAGTCAAGCAAAGTTGCACATTATAGATAGATAAGTGAATTCCACTTTTAAATAACTAATTAGGTGATACATATTCAATACAGAAGATAATAATGAAAATAGTTATCAAGAATTGAAACACCTGGAAAGTTCATTCTGAAAAACCACTAGAGTCTTCACCTCATATTCCTTGGCAACTTTGTTTGTTGAAACACAATACCATTTTGAAAATTAACATTTGACTATATTAACAATCTTCTCTGCAAGTTTAAATTGTTTAGTATTTGATACTCAAACTATAAACAAAAAAGAATAGAACACGTCCATTTTTTCATTTTTATTAAGTTCTGTCATAAAATTAGCTAATGAAGCCAACCAAATTTGACTATTTGTTTGAAATCTATTTTTCCTTCAACTAATTGTGAAATATGAATGGGTGAAATTAAAAAGTTAACAGACGAGATACTAAGTAGGCAAATTATCAAATTTTGACAAAAGATTATAAAACAGGTCGATTTATATTTTCAAATGTTGATTTTTCGAAGTTTTGTCACCAGTTTCGACATGGTGACTAGTGATATTTCTAAATTAAAATATGAGTCAAGTATGTTCAATTTCACTTACATGATTATTTGATACAGAAGATATGTTAACTAGACACTTACATTTGGTGTAAGGGGTGAAAAAAATGTATATTTTGTTAGGGTTATAGATTTTTTTCGTAATTTTGTAAAACCAGGAAATTTCTCATCGCATAGGAATGATGGGTTACTATGAAGTTTAGGTTTTCGTGGCTTTAGTAGGTAATTGTTGTATAAAATAGCAACTACGTCGGATACCTTATTTGACTTTTAATGAATGGTAACATATGACATCTGGCTAGACAAACTTAAAGGGTGGTTACATATATCCAATCCTAGGCAACAGTGATAGTTATTTGGATTTTATTGTTTGTTTATGTACAGTAATAAAAAATTCGTTGAAAAATTTACTTATTATATTCATAGAAAATGTTTAAAAATATAGTATTATGTATAAGGATATTACTAAATGTAATATTATTAACTTTTATCATTATAGTCGATATCTCATTAGCTATTGATTATATACACCACGAGGAGTGGTGTTAACAGTGGTGTATACAGTGTCGAAACTTTCTAGCTACCGAGAAAACAGTTTCTAATAGTAATCTGAGTAACATTTATGAAATTCTTGTTAGGTAATCTGAGAAATCACTCACCAAATATGAAGCCAGATTTATTCAGTAGAGTTTGAATAAGTGCGAGCTACAAATGAACCCTCGTGGGTTGCAATGAAAGGTCGAGTAGACCCCCTCTAAGGGATTGAACCGCGAGAGCTAAAAATATTATCAACAAGCTGTTCTCTGAAAATAAAATTGGCGGGTCTTACCGATATTTCGTATTTCTTTTAAAAACGATTTTTTTTTCAAATTGACAACACATATATCCATTGTGGTGTAATTTTATATATTTTTTGATATGTTCTAACAAGTTGTGGAAATTTTTCAGTGCAAAGCATCAACGTCACTTTTCTTTTTCTAATGAAATAAAGTTTCCTAACATAAATAAGTCTTATGCATGGAATAATTGAAGAGGTATAGTGATAAAAAGTTGGTTAGAAACCACAACTTTAATGATGTCGCATCCGTTATTATACTTACACAATAATTGTAAAGGTAAAAAAATGTACTTCCACACGTATACCAAATTTTGGTCTGAAAGGTGCAATATTTCACCAATCACTCCATGATCAGAAACAAGAACTTATAAAGAATATTGGAACCAAATGAGTAATGCCGGAAACATGCAGTCAAATTAATAATAGCAATCTCTATTAATTGAAGTCAATAATTCATATAAATTGCATTATAAAGTAGTGCAGTCCCACTGAGGATGCCACTATGTAGTGAAATGCCTATTGAACATTAAATCTTTCAAGTGAAAATTCAATTTATTATCATGAATTATGTTATTGATTTTCACTAAGTAACAGACCAGTATGTTGAAAATTTCAAATAACTTATATATTGACACATATGTATTTAAGAAAGAATACATAAAACAGAACACAAGGTTAAATTGAAATGAGTGCAAAAGAATGTGCAAGAGGTCAAAAAATTTACAATAACAAGATGAAAGTTGAGTAACTCTTAATGTAATTGAAGTTGTATCAAACGAAACGTGAGAAAGCAATATCTCAACTTTTTGGTAATAATGCTAATTCTAATGGTAAGTTAGGCTGCATGTTTCCATCCTTAATAATCCGGTTCTGCTTTGCTTCAAGGTAAAACTGGCTGAAGGCATTTATTCAGAATCATTACGATGTGATAGATAAAAAATCATTAAGTATGTATGATTCTTTTTCCGAGTGAAGTTGTTTTTGTTGACAAAACCATACAAAACTCAAATCATTTTATCAACAGCTGAATTGTAAAAACTAAAAAAATAGAATACCTGGAAAAAACTCATCTCTTGAAATTAAATGAATTATTGAATCCAAAAACACACTGTGCCACACTAAAAAACGGCTTCATGAAAAATTCAAAACAAATTCAGCATTCAAAGTGTTCCTAATGAAAAACAATATTTTAAAAATAGTGTTTTTTTCCAATAATAGACGTTTTTCTTGGTCAACATATCTAATACTTTTCAACTGGAGTTTGATTACCTACATCATTACACAAGGTGAATAGGCCACTTGCACACAATATTAAATATTTTTCATAAATCTATTCCTTACATTGCTTGAAACAGGGCATATACCTTTTTACCTTTTAGCATTCCCAAACTTATTTTGCTGCGGTCGTTTCTGTTATTCATTTTCTGATCTGTTAGTTAATGATTAGTTATTTTTTTTCTAATGGCAATTTTTGTCACTTCTGTAATAAATGCGAATGATAGATTGAACAACCTTACATCTCATCTAATGTTAATTTCCTTACTTTTGCTTTGATCCATTGTTCAGGAGTCAATTATCATCATATTGATTGATGATGAATAACAATAAATTTCCGAATCTTGTCGGTGAAAGCAGAGTTTTTAAATAATATTTTCATAAAAATACTTCTGTTCTTGCACTACAAATAAATAATTTTTCAAACTTTGAGTTTATTCTAAAAGTCTTATAATTATTTATAATTTGTAACTGTAGTATTCATAAATTTGTCATCGTCAACAGTCGTCTGTCATGTCCCATGACACTTGACTCTTGACTGGAAAGTCGAAAGTAGACACCACATACCACAGAATCAATCTTAAAAGAAAGATCCATTTTGAATAATAGTAAACTCAGAGTAATAATAAGTTACTCTGAGGTAGTGAACAATTCTGTAACTCGACCATAGAACTTGTAAATTTATATGAATCTTTAATGTTTTGTGCACTCGACCTCCTCACCGATGGGACACGGAACAGGAGAATCTGATGTGTTGATTACTGTCAACCTGAAATTTTCGTCGAATGGTTAGTTAAAAAAAAATGTTTAAAATATATTTTTTTCGTTAACCAGCTATCCCACCCCTACTAACGACAACCCTCATAAGTCGAAACTTGTGCGAGATAAGGACTAACGATCTTACCTTTTAACGTGTAATTCCTAACACAGGTTGGACGATAGCAAGTGAAATTCAAGCGTTGACTAAGTGAACAAAGCACCCACGTCAAACCGCCCGGCTACCGACCAACCATGAACTTGAACAAGGTAAAATTAAGCTATTTGGTTGAAATTTTTGAAATGTTTGCCTAACAAACCGTCGAGATGACCTCGTAATAATTCCTCGATTGCACTCAAATGATATATTTGATAAGTTTCAAATTAATTCAATTTACCACTGAAAATGACACCTCGAATACAATGTAGGTCATAGAAACTTGACCAGTCAACATCAAAGGGCCGCCAGGTATTCATTGACTTTGTCATGTATTGCGGCCTTGACCATCAGAGTACCCAACCAAGAATCGGTATTAAGTTTGAAATTCAAATATTTTGCCAATTTAATATTGGCTACGATAGTGATAATAAATATTTCTTTGGTCAATATGATAAAGAATAATTATTATTATAAATTAATATAAGCGGCGGCTTGAAGAGTTATTAATAGCACACACAGAAAATAGTAGTTGATTGCGTTGTAGAAAAAAATGAGTATGAAAACGATCGCTGAAAGGGTCCATCAAGAAAACACGAATTGAAAAATATTTATTGTACAATGTGACACACTTTTGAGATGAAGACATCCCTGTATTTTATTCATTTTTGAAAGCAGAGATTTGAGGAGTTTCTTAAAGCCTCTAGTCCAAAATCAGGGCATGGCAGGATGTGGAATCGTTGAAACCTAATAGATGATTCTGGTTACTTTTGCAACACATCTTAAGACTGAAATCGCGCATGTCATTAGTTTGAAAGGTCGTTCGTCATTCCAGCCAATAACGAAGTGACCATGCAAACAAACTGTAGCAAACAGTGGAACAGGGAATTATATAACTGATTAACAGGGAATTATATAACTGATTATGTATTTTATTAACCTTCATAAACCCGTGGTCAAAAACTTACATTGAATACGGAGTGGGGTCCAAATGCACCCAACATTTTTTTGGCTTATTATTATTTTTTTCAATGTTATAATTAGGGAATATTAAAAAAAAACACATTCTGCTTATAAAAACAATATATTTTTACATAAAAAAGTTGTCAGCATTGATAAATGAGTAAACACATTTTGAAAAAATAATATGAAATGATTAGGAATAATAAAAACAAAAATAATTATGAAAAAAGAACAAGCACTTTAGTGACAATTTAAATAATGATTTAATTATCACACCTGTTACAAACTGTTATATTTTTTGAATGTTCTGCACATACGAACTGATTGCACCGAATACAAAACTTTCGAGATTTCCTGTCTTTACTTCTCTCGCATAAGAAACATCGCTGCTTTCTGCCAATAACGGGAACAGGTTGTTCGTTCCTTACGTTTAATTCTGGCAAAATGGTTATGATGGATTGTTTCATATTGGAATGTAACGACTTGTCATTTTGGTATCTACGAATTATGTTTTTCCTAATTAATTCTTGGCCCAACTCCAACAAAAACATTCTTCTCCTATCCAAGCGATTTTTTTTCCAATCTGGATTTTTCAACATCCAAAGTTTATAGGCATTGATGCCACCAATGTCCAGCAGATGAAAAAATATTGCCATTGGCCACCGATTACTTTTTCTTTGAGTCGTGAATTCCTTCGCTAATTTATCTGTTGTGTCCATTGCACCCTTTGTTTTATTGTATTGTAAGATAATGTCTGGTTTGTAATTAGTTTCTTCTCCACTTATTTTGTCATCGTTATGTTCAGTCGATAAAAGAATAACTGCCGCATTTTTTTTTGGTACGATAGGAAACTAAGGTTTTATTTTCCATAAAAACAAACATGCTTGAAAAGTACTTCTTATATCTTGCTGGAAGTAGTTCTTTTGGAATACAAGTTTCATTTTTACGCAGTGTACCACACAAGGTAAGGTTTTTATCTAAAAGCATATTAGCTAACTCAATACTGGTGAAAAAGTTATCAGTAGTTATTCCATATCCTAAAGATAAATGGTTTACCAGATCCAACACTACCCTTTGTCCTTGGCCTTTCTCCGGTTTGTTTCCTACTTTGCCTAAAATAATTATTCTGTAATAAAAATCTACATTTTTTTCATCAAAAAACTTACCTAAATAAGGTTGCATATTCACTGTATATGCTGAACTACAATCAGCCAATGCCCAAATTTTTAAACCGTACTTGTCCGGCTTACTCTTCATGTAAACCCGAAAAGGGGCCTTGCCTCGGAATGGGACTAACTGCTCATCCATACACAAATGTTCAAATGGATTAAAAAATTTCTTGCAATTTGCTACAAAACCATCAAAAACATCTCTGATTGGGGCCAATTTATCAGTGCGTTTTCTTTCTTCTCTTGTTTCAAAATTGTCGAATCTTAGAAAGCACATAATCTTTTGGAATCTGTTGCGAGACAAGGCAGATGGTACTAGAGGCCGACATAAAGTTGGATCTTGGCTCCGAAGTACACAAATTGACTCTTTAGCAGCGTACCAGGCTCCAAAAATAATAAGTAAACCAATAAATGCTTCCAGTTCTTCTTGCACAAAAGGAGAAAAGGCCTTCTCATTTCTCGGATAATATGATTCTGCTTTTCTATTTGTCTCCGATAAAATCACATCCATAATATATTGTGAAAGAAATAGTTCAAAAGCTTCTTTTATGGAGGAAAATTGGGAACTATATCTAGTGAAACCTGGTGAAACCTTCTGAATATTACATTTTCGTCTCTTGATGTTCGTAATAAAAGGAACCTTTGCCCACACACTACCATCTTTAGACGAATAAGTTAGATGATCTGTATAAAAGTTTATTGACTGGCCTATTTCATCTGCAGAATCTGTCGACTCATTTTCCCTTTCACTAACTTGTAAAACGTCATCTATCTCATCAGTTTCAGTCACTATGTCAGTCTCCTCAATATCACCTGAACCATCCTCTAGTTGTAAATCATTAAAATAATGGTTGTAAGCGTCCGTTTCTAATATCGCCAATAGTTCTTCGTCACCACTTTCGTGGTTCACTCATTTTCATAAACGCGTACTCGACAATCAACTGTAAACGTGACTAAACACCAACTTGAGGATTAGCATATTTTCAATTTTTTTAAATGTACAGATTGAAAAATTAAAACACCACTTTGAATTCATCTGTACACAATGTAATCAAACTCAAGTCGGCCTGTTTTCGATTTTTTTCAATTTTTTTTCAAATAAGTCACTTTGTATATTTCTATCGCAATGAATTGGTAACTATCTTTTGAACCTGGAAGGTTTTTACTGAATTTTATCCAAAAATAACAGAGTTATGTTGCACGTGATGTTCGCGTCTCCAATCAGGCGGATTGCTTTTTTCTTTTTCTGGATGGAATCCAGCAACTTCAGGTTATGTTTGGGGGCAGAGCTCTATACATAAGAACAATACTCCAAAGAAGGCCTGATCTGAGCTTTATGAAGCATTAAAAGTTGATGAGGTGTGTATAGTTTTCTGGTTCGGAACAGTGTTCCAAGCTTTAGAGAAACAGCCTTTGCAATTCCAGTGACATGATTGTGCCAAGACATATTGGTGTCCGGTTTAACCCCCAACAAACTTATAAAAGTAGAAAGGGAAATTGTCTGACCTGACACTATTATATCCGGTTCGGAGACATTTATCTTTTTGGAGAAAACCGATGCCTGGGTTTTTGTGGCATTGAATTGAACCTGGTTACTTTCACCCCAATTCGAAATCACTTCTAGATCTCCATTAAGATACGCAACTCCTGCTGCCGGTGAAAATGTGCCTCCCTAGCCGATGTCCGGGAATCCAAATGAAATGACGAGTGAGCTGACGTCAGAAAAGCAATATATTGTATTTTTTTTTTCAATAAATCGTTGATATACAATAAAAAGAGGGTTGGAGACAATATGGATCCTTGGGGAACACCAGCGTTGATGGTGAACGTATTCGAGAGATATCCATCGACGGCCACTTGCAGGGAACGTTCTTTCAGGAAGATAGAGAGTCATACACAGAAATGATCCGACAAGCTGTAGCATCGAAGTTTGGCCAGAATACTTCATGCCACACAAGGTCAAAGGCTTCAGAAATATCGAGCGCAACATCTCTTGATTCTCCATATTTCTCGATTGCGTTATTCCAAATATGTGTGACATACGACAGAAAGTCGCTTGTTGATCTTTGTATCCGAATGCCATATTGATGATCACTCAAGATGTTGAAGCCTTCCAAATATTTGAGGATATGGTGATTTACGACTTTATCTATGATGTTTTCATATCACTGATGTATGATGTTTTCATATCACTGACCAGTCGCAAAGCGACTGCTCTATAGATATTTGGAAGATTTTTCTTGCCCTTTTTGGGAATAGGCTGAACGCGAGCAATCTTCCTACAAGAAGGAAAAACCCCTTTCTTGTAAGACAGGTTGAAAAGTCTGCAAAATACTGGTGTGAGTTCATTTGCGTACTTTTTAAGTATGATGACTAGTACTTCATCAGGGCCAGACGCCTTGTTGACATTGCGCTGTTTCAAAATTCGCCTGACTAGACGCTGGCAAAAAGTAATTTTCAGCATTGTGGATTCTAGTGTGGGAATAGTGGGTGGTGCCTTTCCCAGATAATCGACTGTGGAGTAGGACGCAAATTGTTCAGCTAGAAGATTTGCTTTTTCTATGGCTGTTGTTGCAATTGGAACCATCCGCTTGTAATAGGGGAGCCTAAGCGGGGATTTCGGTATTTACTACAGCGCGGCAGATTAATATACAGAGGGATACCTTGTATCCGGTTAAGTACCTCCACCAAATATGAGCCCCATATATAAGGCCGCCTGTGAGGGATAAAGGATCAGATTAGTAAAAAAAAATGATCATCCGAAATTCTCTAGCGCGCCAGATTAAGGTAGGGTGAGTTAATTACCTGTTAAAAATTGAAAATTCTATAGCCGCTTCCCCCACCGATGAAAAGGTATATATTACATAAATTTTTTTTCTTCTTATCATCTAAGCTTTGTAACCTAATAGGTCTCTATGACGCTCGAGTAAATCCCCATTTTGCATCGTGGGCTCCCCTGCTATTGTGTTAGGGGTGGAATTGTGGATTCTGTAAAGTTTGGATTAACAGCTTTAGCTACCGACCAGAAGAATCTAGACCCGTTGGGAATGGCAAGCAGTTTATCGCTAATTCTCTGAATGTGAAGTTATGTGCTTTCATGTATCCTAAGTTTGCAGCTGTTGCGAGTATTAACAAACCTAGTTCGGTTTTCGGCACTGGAATTTTTGCGCCACTGTCGGTAGGCGAGATTTTTGGAGGCGACAGCTTGTTCGCAATTTTTGTTGAACCAAGGATGTATAATAGGTCACATGTGGCCTAAGTGCTGTGGGTCTACACTCACCCTCCCTACTCTACAAATATACAGATACAGATAACACTATCATTACCATGCGAATGCTTGGTTGATTCTTTGGGATGTTTCGGCAGCGCTTTGGTTCAATTTGAATTCGTAGAGAAAAATTGGGCGAAAATCGCTTAGCGACATTATCCAGTAATAATCTGAATAGAAGCAAAAAATTAGGATTTGGAAAAAAATTAACACCATCAATGTCTAGAGTACAAAATTAATCTGTCGATCAGTATACACAACACAGTAGAACACATAGTTATCGAAATGTGGAGCTACAAAAACACTAAAACAACATAAACACAAAACTTTCGAAATAACCTAATAATTTCTACAATTTCTTCGTCTGTTGGTGGAAACAAATACATTGTGTGGCTCAACATAGGAAAATTGTCGTAAACCTGAAGGTTTGCAAATTTCTCATATGTCATATATTGATTGATATATTGCCGTCCATTTGTTTTTTACATATTTTATCAATTCATCCTTATTTATCTTCACTTAATTTATTTTTATATACTTCATACTCCTGCTGTAAATGATTTTTTTTATCTTTCCGTAATCTGTTTAAAACAAATCTGTTTTTCCATTAACCAGCTCTTGCACCCTACGAACGACAACCCTCATGAGTCTAAACTTGTGCGAGCTAAGGATTACCGAGGTCTTACCTTTTAATGTGTGATTCAAATATGAATTAGTTTTGCTTGTAATAGATTTCTGGAGACCATTGTAATCTAGGGCTTTTATTCTTCACTTTTGAAAAAAACTTACACATAATCTGTAATAATTTCTAATGCACCTTTCAATCTATATTTTCATTTACTTACAGAGCATTTCATGTTACTATTTAAAAATAATGCCCCAGTTTATTGTAATGCATTTTTTGTAGGGGAAAATCAACGTGGATATTTATTGCTGTCTTCCCTGGAACCAATTGAGAAAATAAATGAACTAATTTCATTGATTTTTATCAGAGTTTTTTTTACAAAGAAATGATCCAAACAACTCTTACTACCTCTTCCTATAACTCCATTATTATTGTAAGATGAAATCAATATTGTTTTGTGATTTTCAACGAAATCTGTATTTCACATCAACTTAATATTGGTATCGCCAGCGATAATGTGATTTTTTGTTTTACTATCCACCAAGTAATTCAAAAGATCAGTTTTGAATAGTTTTGGACAGCTTCTTGGGGATTTGTATATTTCTGTTATCGTGATGGTATCAAATTTTGACTTGGATAGCTCTTGACTGAACTGAGTATATTGTTTTTATATTCCAAATGATTTTAAAATACTCACAGAAGTTGTGTTTTTATTATATAGATCCAATATTCTATATAAAATAGTAGATATTTTTATAGTGACTGACAACTACTCAAGTTATAGTTTTTTATTTTGACAATCAACTGACTTTTTATCAAAATCCAACATAGAAAGGGATTAAATGAAATTGAATCAACTAAACACGAAAATTATAATATATAGTGACTGACAACTACTCAAGTTATAGTTTTTTATTTTGACAATCAACTGACGTATTATCAAAATCCAACATAGAAAGGGATTAAATGAAATTGAATCAACTAAACACGAAAATTATAATATATATTCTTCTTCAGCAACTATGTGTGATTGATGACTTGTTTATTTTGTGGAAATTCATGATCACATTTTATACTTGATAATGGGGTCAAACCCGAAACCATTCGTAAACATAAAATAACTAGTGGAAATTAGACAAAAGTGTTTTCATTCTTTACATTAAAATTCTTCAGCAACATTTTTTATAGTAATGGAACTCGCTTCATTATTCTTCATTTCATCCATATTTTTTTCCACATATAGAACGCATAGTTTTACAACTGATCGTCAATAAACTCCAGATTTCATTTTGATGACCTGGGAATACCGCAACAATCCGCCCTTTGGGCCCGTGATTTCGTGGTAGGTCGCCGTCAATTGAAACAACTATGTCGCTAACCTTGATATTCCGAAGGTCTTTCTGGGATTATTTAGTTCTCCATATTAAAGTTGGTAAATACTCTCTCACCCATCTACGCCAGAAATAATTGGCAAGTTGTTTGAAAATTTTCCATTGATTTCGGGAGACTAAATGATCTTCAGAAAACGAACTAAGGGTACCGATCAAGAAATGATCAAGTGTTAGAGCTTCTTCATGTTGCGAACCAATGGAGACGAATGTACAAGTGGTCGTGAATTAGCAATGTGGATACTGTACTTTTAGGATCACTTTTAGAGCTACACCCATGTGTCGTGTATCCGGAGAAATGAATAGCCACTCAATTTCTTTGGAAGCAATCTCTGTCATTATTTTTCCTGTTTTCAATCGCCACAAATTTGGTTCAAGAATTATTGACTTCATAGAAAAGTTCAAGAGGAATCCAAAAGGGTCAAATATGTATATCAGATTTATTATAACTTTCCTATCGGTACAACTTTTGTGATTATATCTTAACAGAGTAATTCCATGTGCTAAAACATTCAGAACGCTACAAGCAAGTTTATGTAAAACTGGGAGTTATAATAAAAATGCAGGTGGTGGAAGACCAAAAACTGTAACAACGCCTGAACTAGAAGAAGATATACTTGATGCGATAGAAGAAGATTCTTCAAATAGTGCCAGGAAGATTACACTGCAGCTGGAAGTGAGCCCGAAAACCGTATGAACAGTTCTAAAAATAAACCTCCTGTATCCATATCACATATAGCGGGTCCAAGCTTTACTGCCTCGAGATTTTCACCCAAGATTAATGTTTTGCAGGTGCTGGTTGATTGATACGATGGCATACAATAATAATTTTTTACCAAATATTATATTTACGGACGAAGCTAATTTTTCACGAGATGCTATTATGAAAAGAAAGTTTTTGGCTTTCTACTACTCCATCTGATACAAAAAAAAATGGATGAGAGAATCTTCCAAAGAAAGGAAGGAAGTAATCAATTTGAAAATAAGTAACGCTATACATGGATGTGTAGATCATGCAAAGAAGTAAATCTTTGGAAGATTCTCTCATCCATTTTTTTTGTATCAGATGGAGTAGTAGAAAGCCAAAAACTTTCTTTCCCAAAAATTAATCAATCCTAAAAATATAACCCTTTCAATTCAAGCTATTATGAACTTTCACAATGACCATTTTTGGACCGACGAAAATCCCCACGTTATTAGAGAAAGCCATTTTCAGCAACAATTTTCGCTGAACGTTTGGGTATGAATGATTGGTGACTACCTAATTGGCCCATTTTTTCTACCAGTAAGAGTAACAGGTGAATCCTACATGGACTTTTTGCGAGATCATTTACCCATTTTGTTAGAATAAGTGCCGGTATTTGTAAGAGGCAACATGTGGTTTATGCACGATGGGACTTCAGCTTATTTTAGTGGTCTTGCTCGTCAGCATTTCGACATCACCTACCTTAATCGTTGTATTGGGCGTGCAGGACCTCAACATTGGCCAGCTCGTAATCCTGATATTGTAATTGCGATAGTAACATAAAATATTATTTTATTCATTGAGATCGAGGTCGATCACTCGTTTCTTCGGTGTCGATATTTTTCCTGTTGAAAAAGCGCTGAGTTACTTTATGACCGTCGGACCTTCGAGCGTCGTTGTGGTCATGTTAAATTTGAGCTAGTCTAAAGAAATGAATATATTGCATCCTGCCGATTATCATAAGCTTGGGAAGGTAAAAAAAACGCTGAGATGAGGTTTTTGTGGCTAGCGTTGTTGACGCGAGGGCTTGGGAGAGTTTCTTCAGGGAGACATGGGGGTCTCATCCCTCAGCCTTCGAGGCTGAGGGAGGTGGCCTAAATAGGGGAGTTAATTTGTTTGTAAGCGCGTGGTGTGAAATTTAAGTAAAATCGGTAGTGAAATCATAAACAGGTAATGGGTACAGGGGAGTTCGAAATTAAAGTGTTGGTGTTGAAAACACACTGGGTCAACGGAACCCATGGTTGACCATGAACCACCCAAAGGGGTGTTATGTGAGTGTTTGTTATGTTTTTTACTAACCAGTTGATGTTTAGAGAGAGTTCACATATTATTTCGTCCGAGTCCACTTCCTATTTGCAAAGAGGTTACATATTGTGGGGTTCCTAGTGCTGATTGTTTAGCTAAAGCTGATAATACAATTACAGAAAAGAGCTAAAATTTGAAGTTATACACCACTCTCCCTAAAGTAAAACTAAGTTGGCGCATTTGTAATTATTAAACAGGTTAGAATCATAGTAAATAGCATGGTAAAATTGGCGGCATTTCCTTTGTTCTAGTTTCTTTCATTCATAGAATTTAACATTTTCCTTTTATATAATATTTTACTCGTTGTTTTTATTTTGTCCATAGAGTCATTTTTTTACTTATTATACTTTATATTTGAAACCTTTGGACTTTGATTTTCTCTTGGACTGAGAAAAATACCATCCTAGAAGAGTAAGATGAAGTTAAGAAAACAAAAACACATAAGAGACCTATTGTCAATCTATCGAGAAGAGAATAGTGAGTGGAAAGCATTTTAACTAAGATTAAAATTCAGTTGTGGAACCACATAATGAGAGGGAAGATAAGTAAGTATTCCAAATGATCAGATTTCAAAAAGACCGGCCTTCGTGCGATCGGCACGAACCCTACAGCTTTTTCGGACCTGCCTTGATATTCAAAATTTGATGCGGAGAAATCTGCATCTGGTGACAGCGCTGCTAAAATTCATTTCAGAAAATAAATAAATGAGAAACGAGCTAGAAAGCTCCTTTTATTACAATACGAACCTCTAGATTTCCATTTATGGGGTCATCTGAAGGCTCTTGTTCACGAAATTCCTGTACTAGATGTTAATGACTTAAGGAATCGAATAATTGACAGTTGCAATGTCATAAGGAATACTCCAGGTATTTTTGAACGTGTCAGACAATTAATGACAAATCGATTGCAGTCGTGTATTTATCAGAAGGTGAACATATTGCTCATTCACTTGGTCGAAATTGTTTATTATTTACTTTTTGTTTTTATTTTATGTTTTCCATGAATAGTTTTCAGAAGTTGTTTTTAACAAAACGAAGCCTAATTTAGAAAAATAAATAACTACAACAAACAAGTCAGTGGCGTACTTTTCTTTCCCAATATTGTTGGCTGTAGTGCCTACTGAGACTCCACTGGACGTAATAATTACATTCAGTTGAGGCTAAATAAGCGCCTTATTACTTCAAATAACTGTAGCAAATTTCAACCAAATCGGTGTAAGGATATTTATGATATTTCATAAATTCAGTTTTTTTAAAGAACGCCTTGTATCTCAGAAACGAAGTAACTCCAAACATATATTCATGAGAACTTTTTCCTTAAAACGACCTAAAGAATCATCCTTTGAAGTTTCGTACCGTAGGAAACACCCTGTATATGAAGTTTTATAATAACGCACCTGAGTAGATGTAATGAAGAAAATCGCCATCACATCAACCTTCCAATAACACTAATTTAGTTAGTTATAGGCATTCGTTGGTTTCTCACTCCAAACTGTTTACCTTCTATAGCACGAACTTTAGATACGGCGCAGATTTATTGGTGGATTGTCGTGTTGTTTTGTTTTCTCACTTCTAGTGTGCTATAAATACACCAGAAGAAATACACGCTTACACATTAAACGAACTAAAGAATAATACCTATTGCGCAAAATTAATATTTTTTCCATTGATTTGCATCGCCAACAAAAGCCAATTAAGTTTGCTTTGACAGCTGTAGCAAATTTATCGTTTTAATAATCTGAGAGTTTGCGGTTTTCAACTGGAAATGCCGAGCTATCAAAGTAGTAACAAAATATAAAGCAATTTTCATTGAATATAAGGAGGGCAAACCATGGGAGATAGCTTATCGTTGGCAAGATAAGATTAGACCACTAAAATATTTCCACATTAAATATGCTGTATTATTAGTACAAGAAAAGTCAAAGGCGACGCAGGTCGTCCAGAAGGCAATCTAAGTAATGTAATGTTCGACAAAGGGCGAATCGACGACGAGCGCACACATTTTAATTTACAAAACCTCCATACGTTTTATTCCATAATAAACAGTGGTGAAAATCGATAGAACGACTTGCCTGACGTGGTCTTTCAAAGGTGATTACTGTCGTTAGTGACTTCAACCAAACTATTTATAATCGCTTATCCTGACTGAAAGTACGACTCAAAATAGTGCAGTTTTATTGCAACTCCATCATCTTTGTGGGGGGATTTAACCTTGTGACTTTTATAACTTCATCATGGCCAAATATCATAATCTGAAAAACACGTGGGCAACTGAAGATACAAGGTAGGTGCAGAAAATTGCGTAGCCAAAAATTGTTGCATGTTCAACTCACTCAGAATTTGCACAGGTACTGTTTCAACTTTAAGATAACGGTATCACAAGTTTTGATTCATGACGTTTTCATTCATTTTGCTCCCAATTTCTCCACCTTGTCTGGTAGCAATACTAAAATTAATGATTACTTGGTATTAGTGGATTATGTTCATTCAATATCAATTATTTTTGGGGAAGATCTGTTGATTCAATATACTTTCAAGTAACTCCACGTTATACAAAATACGAATATCAACTCCAATGTTTTGATTGGCTGCCGTGTTCTTCTTTGGTTATAATCTCCAAGTACTCTTCTGACATGTGAAAACACATGTCAACTGACACGTCAAGAAGAGTACTTCGACCACGCCACTGAAGATGACTGCCGCAGTTGCAGTTGAAACGTTTGGAGAGAGAGAGACGCCAGCCGTGAAAGCCTACATTCCTTTATCACCTTCAATGTTTCAAATGAAATTCTACTTCTACAGTATGACTGCTAAGTCCTCATTATATGGAAGTTTTTCATCAATAGCTTTATTCAAAATATACTAAATTTTGCTTCGAAAAATAACCAGAAAAAATTGTATTCGGGTATTTCACAATATATGCATGACATTTAAATTTTTTCTCCAAAGTCATTCCAATAATAGGATTATTTTTGAAAATATCAAAAAAGTTATTTGAGAAAGTTATTCTAAATGCAACTTTTAGCAAAAATACTAAATTTCAGCTGCATAAGTTGATACAAATTACAGGGCTGTTGCAAAATAAGACCCAACGCAATCCAAAAATCTTCATATTTCAGAAACACTATCTATATCTATTACTATTATTATCTATATACGTATCAGGTTGTTTCAAAAGTTTTGTTCGTTTTTTGAGTCTAATTTGAACTAATACTTACTCAATTTAATCGAAATAAGCGCTATTTGAATCAGTGCAGCACTTTTACCAACGTAACACAAGCCGATTAATTACGTCAGCATCAGAATTGGATGCTCGGGATGCGATGAAGAGGATGAGGACCGTTTTTGCCTGGTCCTGATTGGCGAAGATTCTATCGGTGATAAAGTTATCAAAGAGCTTGAGTAAATGGTATTTGGTGTGCGGGAGGTCTGGAAAGTATGGTGGATTAGGCAGAACTACGAAGCTCAATTCGTTTAGTTTTCGGACGGTATTTGTGAAACGTGCGGACGGATGTTGTCGTGGAGCAGGATCGGACCTCGCAGTTTTCGAGCTTTTTGACCTTTCCATTACGTTGCAAACCATCAAAAATCGCATGGAAGCTGACGGCCAGTTCTTTTTAATAATAATAATGATAATGATGTGTATTTATTCTGCCAATCTAGGATACATATACATTTTTTCACATTTGGAAAATTAATGTTAATCCTAGGATGGACGTCAAAGGCGAAGTTCAAATCAATAATTTCAGATTACTGATTTGTTCTACCACTTAACCTCACACAAGCCTAACATTATGGAATATGTCTATTACAGAAGTTGAAAAAGAAAAAACAATAACAGGGACTCTTAACAATTCAAGAATCTGAAATATATTATTTGGTTTGTTGCTTCCACAAAACATTCTTATACTTATACTTGAAACTAATCACATTAATTTTTTTAATTTCTTTTGGTATACCGTTGTACACGCAGCCAATTTGGTAACCGAAGGACCGTTTAAAGAATTCATGATAGTGAATTGGTGGAGTTAAAATACCTTCAAATCGAATATTGATTGTGTGAACATGGGTTCGAAATGAATTTTTTTCATAAAAGTAAATCGACATCTTCGGTATGATTATTCTGTGAAATAAGCACCCTGCATACAGCCGCCTACGCATTGCCATATTCAACCAACCCGTTTCAACAAATTTATTGCAAATACTTTCTCGCTTTCGAACTCCATGAATGAGACGTAAACATGAGTTCTGAATATTTTGGATTTTTTGCTCAAACGCTTTCTCTAAGCAGGGACCGTACACTGAATCAGCACAATTCAGGGTAGACAAAACTAAACTATCACATATACCATTATTTTTGTTGCCTTTGTAAGAAAGTTTCTATTTCCATAAATAATCTCAAGAGTTCCATAAGCCTTTTGAATACGTTTTTTCCACGTAGGTTTCGAATCTCAAATTACTTTCGAGAATAAGCCCCAGACTTTTCGCTTGATGATATACAATGTCCTTAATTATCCCCCTGACATTTTTTGGCCCGAAGATTAAAACATTTGACTTGTTTGGGTTGTTAACTAGACAATGTTAGTTGCAGTTTCAACAAAATTATCGATTTCTTTATTACTTTGTACACAAGCCTTATCAGCGTCTTCTGGTTTGAAAGAGATATAGATCTGGGTGTCATCTTTGTATAGATGAGAACAACGTGCAAGGAAGTTAACGAGCTGTCTGGTATAAATAGAAAAAAGTAGTGGACCTAGGATTGAACCTTGTGGCACTCCCGACTTCAATTCAAGAAAGTTCGACTGATTAGCTGCTACTGTGACACTCTGATATTTTCCCCCCAGATGATTATTTAAGAATTCAACACCATCTTCAGATATTTCTATATGATGCAAAATTGACTTTAGTGCGTCAAAGTTTATAGTGTCAAATGCCCTACCAAAATCGAGAAGTATCAGGGCTGTACATAAACATTCATCTAAAGCTGTGGGAACTGTGAGATTGTGTCGGCGGTAAGATTGATTTTATATTCAGGTAATTCGTCAGCAGATGATGATTAGGTAACTATTTTTTCTTTTTCGTGGGTAAAATGCTTATTGCACGAAGGTCCTTCAGTTCTTGAGGATTAGTAGTTTTTGGTAGTTGTAATATTAGAGCCTTCTTCCAATTTGAAGGAAAAACATTGATATGACAGTAATTGATGATATGGGTGAAATAAGGAAGGATTACAGGACAGCAAAGAATAATCCTTTTGGTATTCAAACCATGATATTCAATTGCATTGATTTTTATTTGGCAAAGAGTTTGGGATACCAAAGACTGGTCGACTGGGGATATTTAAAGTTGGAGTCGTGAATTTCAATACTATTATATTGAGATATAATATCAACTGATGGAGAGATATTAGGTGGGGTGTTAATAAAAAAGTATTGATTTCATCTGAATTTTGCAAATGAAGTGGGATATCAGCTTTAGCATTCACTGGTAGAACTTCTTCCCCTCAAAATAGTTTTAGAGGTGAGTTTCGCAATTCCATTTAAAAAATCCAGTGTTGGTTATTTCTCGCTAGTTTGATTTTATTAAGTGTCCAACCCCCAACTTCCATCATTTGTGAAATAGTGCCCGTTAACCAAGGTGCTAAAATTCCGAAGCTAAAATATCCGGAACGAAATTTCGCAAACCAACATCGAACAGCGCGTTCATTAACACTAGCATTGCTAATTACCTCGTTTATTTTTCGGGCTGTATCGACAGCTCTTTGGTTCGATTTGAAGTAGTAGAGAAAAATTGGCTAAAAATCGCTTAACTACATCATTTTCAAATCTGGAGATCCATATGATGTTCTAAATTATCGTCCTATTTCAATCCTATCGAATTTAGCTACACTTTTCGAAATTGTCATCTATAATCGCGTACCTTCCTCATTTCGCAATATCATATCTCCGAAACAACATGGATTTATGTCACACAGATCCACCATAACAAATTTAATTTTATTGTTAGTGATGCCTTAGATACTCGTAGTCAAGTTGATGTGATATATACTGATTTTGCTAAAACATTTGATCGACTTCTTCTTCTTCTCTTTTTTTTATGGTCTTTGCTTCCCTTCGGCTTTCATCGACTTGATCACATGATTCTTCTACAAACACTCCACCAATTTGGTTTCCATGATTCAGCCGTACTTTTCATCAAATCCTAATTACTTTAACGCGAACAGTTTGTATCTTATAACGGTTATGATTTTTTTCATTACAATCCTTCATCTGGAGTACCTCTGGGGTCAAATCTGGGACGACTTCTATTTTTATTATTTATTATTGATCTCAGTAATTATGTTGATTGTAATAAGTTATTTTCGGCAGATGATTTAAAAATATATTTACCTGTCGAAACTATCGAAGATTGTTATATGTTGCAACGACAGTTAGGAAAATACAGCCTTGGTGTGAAGTTAACAAACAATATCCTAATGCATCCAAATGTAAAACCGTGTCTTATATTGAAAAAATGTCAGTCATCGAGTATAATTATCGAGTAGATACCATTTCACTGTCACGTAGTAACTCAATGGAAGATCTTGGTGTATATTTTGATCAAAACTTTTTTTTTCAAATACATTAGATCGAAAGTAAGTGAAGCATTGAGAGTTGGCTTTATAGTTCTCAATTGTAGATCTATTTCTAACATATCTGCTCTAATTACGCTTTATGTAGCCTACGTAAGGTCAAAATTAGAATATTGGTCTGTTCTATGGTCTTCATTCAATAAATGTTATAATACATTAATTGAAAAAGTTCAACGTCGTTTCCTAAAGTTTATATACTTCAAATCTTATGGTATCTATCCTGATAGAGATATTTCATATGAATCTCTCACCATAACATTCAATATTGAAATGCTTGAATTACGTAGAAAACTTGCTGTAATAATTTTTCTATATAAATTACTTCACAACAATGTGGATGCTATGGAGGTGTTATCTCTTATAAATTTTTGAGTGCCTCATTTTAGAACTAGCAGTACAAAAACTTTATACAGCCGACTGACCAGAATCAATTCATACCTCAAGTCATCTATCTTTAGCGTTTGCAATACTTTCAAATTTGTGTGATATCAATTTTGATTCCTTAGAATAGAATATTATAAGGTTGCAAGTGATGTTCGTGTCTCCAATCAGGGGGATGGCGCTTTTCTGGATGGAATCCAGCAGCAGCAGAGTATGTTTAGAGGTAGCTTCATACATGAGAACAATACTCCAAAGAGGGTCTGATCTGAACTTTA